AGACGACTTTAATTAAGAAGAGTTATAAGGTACCACCGGACAAGTAAGGCTTTGAGAGTACCCCCACCCCATTACATTATCCACCTTCCAGGTAATTCTATACTTAAATATTTCATCCTTTGCCATTTTGGATATAGACTGCATACATTCCCATGCTAGCTACTGCCTCCTCTTTTTCTTTGCTGGACCCTGCCTTTGCACTGAACTTTGTGGTTTCTGATCTTCCCCAGGGGTAGGTAACAGCTCAAGTTCCTGGGACTCCTCACTCCTCTGCAATTATTCATTACTGTACTTTGTATTCAACCGTTTTGTTTGGGTTTTTTATTGGCTTGCAGGGAATTCTTTCATGTCTTAGGTTGCTCATCCTGTTTCTTTCTCTTACTAGAAGGCAAGCCTATTTCTCTGATCAGAAGCACAAGTGGCAAATAACACCATTTAACGCCCTTAAGGCGGTACAGCTTTGACCAATTTTCTCCATAAAATAACATAGCATTATTACAGTTGACCACCTAACCCTGCACTTGAACTGGGATCTTCAGGAAGAACTATGAGATAGTGAAACTGATATCTCATACAACGCTGCCAAAGAGGTATGACTGATATGGAAAGCAGTAAAGAAAATACAGGTTGTGTACAGTGGCACCACAGCTACTGTGATGGCTGCTGGAGAAGGAAATGTGAACCACACACAATGGTGGAAGCCAGAACACTGATCTCAGCAAGGGTCACCACGTACTTATGCCTGGCAAGCTCCATCTCTCAAGCTCTAACCTGTGGCTTAAGACACAATTACAAAATCTGGTGACAAGCCTCAAAAAAGTTACTCCATTCTTTAACATTCTTGAGTTTTTAGACCAAAAGAATCTTAATTCTGGAAAAAAATATGCCATGGCTCAGAAGCAAGTCCCCAAAAGGTACCTATAAAATTTCAAGACTGCACGAAAGGCTGGAAAAATTATTATGAACTTGGATAATATAACTGGAACCAGAAACAAGAATCTGCCGATAATGCTCCAACCCTAAGAGAAATCACACAGCAGAAGATTGCTGTTTTTATTGTTGCTGTCAGAGGCAAGTAACTTTTAGAAGTTAAAGAACTTTTAACTTTCAGTTTTAAAGAAACATTTAGCTGTGGAATTTGAATACCCGTATGGATGCATTAGGTTTCATTCCTACTTCTGTGTACTCACGCACATGTAAGTCTCTTTCGTATTCATTTTAGTAGTTTAACTACTAATAATTAACTTAAGGAAATGAAAGATGTTTGTGGCTTTGAATGTCTGAAGATGAAAAAGCTCATACACAGCAGTACAATGGTTAATCCCTTTCTGTATTATACACACACATAAGAACATACATGTATACATGCACAAACACCTTATTTTCTACAAAGGAAAAGACTACCCATGCTTGCTTTTAGATATGAAAGAGAAGCACAAACGACAGAAACAGGAAACATCAGGCTGGCATCCACATGGAACAGCATGGGGGAAGAAGAGTCACTTTCTTACTGAATGCCTCTTTTTAAATCTCAAGTAGAATTGTTTAAAATTATTACCATTTGTTTATAAAATTGCTGTTCAAAAATACCTTTTAACTATAAGATCAAAACAATTCTGTGTAAGTTAGTATCAGTTTCTATACGTATTTACATATATGTAGACTCTTTACCAGGTGTCAAGACCTCCCAACAGGTACAACACTGTTCAAAGAGAACACTTCCAAGTCCAAAAAGTGATATAAGATCTTCATAGGTGGCATATTTCATCAAGGCAGATGACTGCTTACAGAATTTTGATATCAGTGATCTATCTGGCTAAAGAAACAGCACAGTTAATACTTCAAAATGATAGCACCTAGAGCAACCACCCAGATTTGGGCTTGGTTTTGTGAGTTTAATAATTTAAATGAATTTAATCAACTGCAGAAGTTACTAACTTTGTGATTTAAGAATCTGACTTAAAATTACCTACTAGTTTTTCTGTACAGTGTGTTTCACAGTTAAGGCACACGGTCCCTTTATGAAGCACACAGTGTTCGTGGCAAGAAACAATCTGAAGTAGACAATAAGGATTTATGTTCTGCATCAAACTGCTGTAGACTGTTCCCTTTTCCTCACTCTAACATGCCACTGAAAAGCACAGCTATTGGAAACATGACACTCAAATCCAAGAATTGAAACATTTCTCTGCCACATTTTAATTCATATTAAAACACATAGCCATACTACAGGAAGAACAAACAAATCATCATTTCCTCAAAGTCCAAACCTCCCTATGAGATTCCCGGAAGATCTCATTTTAGTGTTAATCAAGTATTAAATGCATGTGTCTGTTTCATTACTATTACAGTCACAACAAGCCTCAAATCTCACAGTAATTTTTATATTGAAGTTTATGAGGAATGTTCCTATATAATAAAGTAATTTCAACTAGTTAAAGAAGGAGACAGTGCTGACTGCTTTCATTGTCTCTGTGCCTTCGATCAGGTTATTCCAGGCAAAAGTGTCTTCCTTGTCCCCACATTTAAAATTATGTAATTACAAGGTATCTTGTATTTGGAGAAGAGACAAGTGCAAAACAGTTTAAAGCCATTTTCTGGTTTCTTCAAGGCAACTGCCTCAAGCAGAAACTTTCATTGAGCTGTTTGCTACCTATGGCATTGGCAGTCAACAAAACTGAAAGGCTCAGAATAATAAAACAGAGGTAATTAAAAAAAAAAGTTTCACTTCTTTTGACTCATGCATTGGTACACAGTAGCATCAAACAACTGTTTATCAAAAATTCTTCCCCCTTGAGCTATCTCCTACACACAACACAATTGCTGTGAGCTCATTCCCACACCTGATTTACTTAATTACCCCATAGTACTGACTCCAGCAGGGCTTGACACGAAGCTGACTTCACAGATCACGAGCTATTTTTTGCATAGGACAACCCATGCCCAAAGCAACACAGAGGAGACTAAACACTTCTCTTCCCAATTTGGGAAACAATTCACTTACCTCCCTCACATTTTTATCACTGTTTCTCACATACAACTTTTGGAAAACAAAGGAGACAGGTTTCTGAAAATTAAGATAATCCTTGACAAACGCCTCAAACTCTTAAATGCATGTGCTCACTTCACAATCACTTGCCACCTCCCACCTACAGATTAAAGCCCAGATCTCTGTATGAAAAGAGCGTATAGGCACAAACAACAGCTCTAAGCCTAAGATTATTTTAAAATAACAAGCTTGAATCATTGAAACATGTTTAGTATTTACTGATAATGGTGCTGGAAATAAGCCATCTGAAAGAAAACACTATTACAATTTCATTACTATTTTATAAATTGTCTTAATTTTCATTCATTGCGTCTGAAAACAAAAAAAAAAAAGAAAAAAAAAACTAAACAGCCTAAAAACAGCCTGGATTGCAATGTGAACTTGCAGCCCTATTTTTCAAAGCAAAGTAAAACAAAAGCTTTACTAACGTACATGATAGCTTAGTCTTTGGTAGCTGGGAGCTTTTGGATTAGTATTATTACAGGTGTCACAAATATGATGCAAATTGCTGCTGTTAAAATAAAACGTGAGTTCTTGGAAGAGCTTAGTAGCATAGAGAACAAGACCATTACACTACTCTCTACTTAGGCAGAGTTAAGAATATTAAAATATTTTTACTTTGGTCCAGCACATCAAGACAAAAAAGAGAAAAAAAAGGAAAAAGAACAGGTAAGATGCCAGAATGTGTAGTGTCTGACCTTCAAGAGAAGGTCACGGTTCCATACTGCATCACAAGCAAACAAACAGCATCAAGTTAACAGCTGTTGCAGCATGTGCTCATCAGAATACACAGTGAAATTCTGGGAAAGTAGACTTAAAATCAAATTTGGCCTCGACACTCCATCCTAGATGTAATTCTGCTATTTTCTATACAAATTCAAGGTCAGTTCCAAAGCTGTGCAGCTTCTACATTGTTAACTCAGCATCCTACATCTTACACACAAGAAATACAAATTACAAGAACCTGAAAAGCTCACACTCCTCGTGTTATTCAAAAGCAACCCAAGGGCATATCATTGAGCACCTCAGTACAGAAAGGACACTGATGTGCTAGAGCAGGTCCAAAGAAGGGCAACAAGGCTGCTGAAGGGCTTGAAGAATATGGCCTACAAGGAGGGACTGAAGGAACTGGGGCAGTTCAGTCTGGGGAAAAGGAGGCTGAGGGGAGACCTTATTGCTCTCTTCCAATATCTGAAAGGTGAGAGTGGGGCTGGTCTCTTTTCACTGGTGACAGGACGAGGGGAAATGGCCTCAAGTTGCACCAGATAAGTTTAGGGTGGATATCAGGAGAAACTTCTTTACAGAAAGGGTTGTTAAGCACTGGAATTGGCTCCCCAGGGAGGTGGTGGAGTCACCATCCCTGGATGTGTTTGAAAACCATTTGGATGTGGTGCTCAGGGACATGATTTATTGGAGGGTTGTTAGAGTTAGGGTAGCATGGTTAGCTTGTGGTTGGACTCGATCTTCAAGGTCTTTTCCAGCATGGGCTATTCTATCATTCTATTATTCTATCACAAAGTTAACCACATGCTAACAAAAGCACAGACTAAGACAAGTTACAATTAGCCAACTGCATTAAAAGCCTACTAGTAAACACGTTAATTATGCCTACTTCAAACAACCTTTTTTTATTATTATTATTATTATTTTTTTAATCTTTACATCCTTAAAACGCAGGTGACGACAATGAATACAGTTCGTTTTACATATCCAGAGTTCACTATGTGCTTTGTAAATGGTAAAGTTTTCTGAACTGATAAGCTGCTGAAAGTTACAGGCTGGCCAGGAGGACACAAACCAGCTTCAAGCTATGAGTTGTTGTTTTTGTTTTTTTTCCCAAACAAGTTCTACTATACCAAATGCATGTCAATGAAAGACACGTCTTTACAACACAAGTACCTGCTATACACTTTTCCTGTATGACTCTTTGAAGACCACAAGGTAAACATACCTATGTTCTGTGAGAACATTTACTGCTGATGGATGATTGGCACAGTAGGCAAGGTATAAGCTTTTCATTTGTGACATCAAATTTAGAAAACATCCTCCAACCCTCTGCTGAGCTTCAGGCAACCTAAAAATGGAGTAACAAAGAAGTTACATTAATATGAACCAAAGGAAAGTTAAACCCAGGCTAAACGGTATGTGCCTGTGAGTGAAGTCCACCCAGTTTATACGATGTTAACCTCTTTATTATTATTTTAAATGAACATATGGGTTTCTCTGGACATCAGCCAACAAACAACAGCACCTTCTTTATTCTTTACAACTTCAATCCTGTATCTGCCAGGCTTGGTTACATCCTCAAAGCGTAGGCATAATATGACGTATTTGTAAGACATTCACTTGGCTGGCCTTTTTCAAGAATTAATCAGCATATTTTTTAGGAGCTTGATTTTTACACAATGCATCTATTGTCACTATCCATGTATACACCATGCCAAGTCTTGAAATGAATATTACAGCATTTCAGCAAAACTGGATCAAGTAGGCAATAGGATTCTCGCTCTACCCTCAACAACAAATGTGACGTGCTTAAAATTCTCACAAAAGTACCATATTAAGCTCTGATAAAACAAACAGCCAGTTATGGAGCAACTACAGGTAGTTTTCACACAATCATCCCTCATCTTGATTTCTAAGCATCATAAAACACCTTTATGGCTCATTTGCCACAGGGACAAAAATGCTGCTTTACCACCAATATAGAAATACTTCCTGTAACTCATACTTTGTCTTCCATGCTAGAATGAGCCACATCTGCTAAGCAGTAAATTTTTTCCATAGCCTTTTTGCGCAGAAGAATTCTTTTTGTTGAATAACATTGTAACAGTAGCATTAGTTACTTCAGAAGAAAAAAAAATAGTCTGCAAGTGAAACAGCTTTTAGAAAAAAAGGTTACTTTCACAGTTTTGGTGAACCTAATCAGTTTTGATAGTGTTTGTCTGAAACATACGCATGCATTTTCTCCATGTAAGTGATGAGGTGGTGGGGACAGGAAAAGATACTATGAATATACAACTTGTTTTTCAAAAGGCTGTAGCAGAAACTATCGTTTCAAATTGCAGTAAGAAAACATCTAGAGTGTACATATACAAAGATGACTGAATCACAACAGCTTCAAGCCTGAACAATTTGCAGAAAGCCCGAACTCTGATTCTGAATCAGTATAAACAGCAAAAACAAGACTGTGAGAGTTCCTCTATTTTAGCATCTCCTTAAGCTGCATACTTCTTACATAGGGAAAAAACATTCTCACACTTTTCAAAAATATAAAGAAATCTTCAAGTTCAACATACACCAATGGGAAGTATGAAGTCTGTCTAGTCTTGCTTTCTTGCTGCTACCACACCACCACTCTCAGAACTCATCATTAAGATAAAGAATGAATCAGACTAACAAGCACAGTAAGGATGGATGTTGTTTTATCCATCTAGCTACTCTTAAATCCAGTATTTCACATTGCTCTGAAGCTAGATGAGTCCTCAGCAAACACCCAACAGACTACCATTAACACAGTTTGGTGGTCTCATGCTGACGTTAGTTGAGATAATTCCCTCAGGTAGAATATTGTTTTTCATTTCAAAATCAAAAATCTCAGTGTCCTGAATGTGCTTGTAACATTTCTAAATATCAACAGATAGTGTTTCCCATCTGAAGAGAGATGCTGTCTAGTCCCTCTGTACGGCAAAGGAAGACCAAGTCGCTGAAGAATCAAAATTGACTGTGGAGATGTTCAGATGTGAGACAAGGGAAACCTTATCCAATAACACCGTTCACCTGAAGACATCCAGAAAATCTTGACTGAACTCCCCGTTAGCACGCCATGCTGGCTGCATTTTGATCACACTGTCAGGTGCTCCTTACATCAAAAGCCGGGGTCCGTATTTTACTGTCTGTAACTATTTCTCTTGAAATAAAATTTTAATTTTGACATTAACAGGGCAGCAGCTTCTGCAGGCATTTAGGGGAAACCAGGGGCATTCCTCAGTAGACTGAGAGATGTTATTCACACAGCCATCCTAGCAGGATTTCCCTTCTAGCAGTCGGTCTCCTTTAATAAATCTAAGCATGAGCTAACAATACATTCTTCAAGCAATAGAAGCAGTGAGAATCTCAGACTCTGTAGACACACAGAGGGAATATAGCTCAGCATTAAATAGTAAGAGGCCCCAATGAACAACTGCTAAAAATGGTAAAAATTGTCTCTGTATTGCCTGGGGGAGGGGGTGGGGAATGGTGGGAAGTGAATTATGGCTTCTCACAATAAGCAGACATCTGTGTCTCCTCAGCCTGCTGTTCTTTTAGCAGAAAGAAAGATCGATATTATTCTCTCTCACATGCTGCACATGCACTGTAACTTTATGCTACATATTCTTTGCTGAATTAAGATAATCAACAGACTTCATGAGGGGGTGGCCACTCATTCCTTTCAACTTCTCAACTACATACACTATTTGAGAGTGTTCTACTAATTTTACAAGAGTAATTAATAAATTATCTCCACTTCCTTTAATTGCCTGAAAAACAACAATTTAATGCCTGTCACCAAATCATACAAACCTTCTGGTAATTATGTGCTCCAGTTCAATAAAGAGCACAGTTTTATAATTTGTTCTTATGTTGGCATCTAAATATTCTCTCATTTAATACCTCAACTAAAAAGGAATTGTAAGCATAACAATATACATAATATAGGCACACATATATACATGTAGATATATTTAAAGAATGAAAAAAGCTTCAGTTATAAGAAAACCAAAGACATGTTTAATTTCATTTACAGGATTAGAGAACATTAACAAGGCCTATACAAGCATAATCATTGTACAACAGCATCTAAATTACTGAGTAATTACTATTTTTTGTTGCTGTCTCTGACAGCTACCAGCTCCATTCCCAGATTTAAAGTGGGTTCCTATTATAGCAAAATAACTTGAGAGCAGTAAGAAAGAAGATGACTTTGTTGCTCAGTCACGATTACTTCTCATGATCCGTGATCATAACTGGACTGAAGCTTGACTGGCAGCCAGCAGAGAAACAGCAACACTACAGAATTGTATCCTGTGTATTCTGAAGTTTACCTTAGTTTTCGCATCATTGACTTTTACAACACCACAGTAAAGGTTGTTGTAAACTGATGAATCCAGACAAATCATAACAGGTTAACAAAGGCAAATTTAAAGAAATATAGATAATGTAATCAGCATCTCATGCTTTCTGTAAGCTTTCTTTTTTGCTATGATAAGATTACAACTCTAAACCTCACCTTGTTGTATGGTTACCAGAAGACTGTCACACACTGTCATCTATGTCCCTGCACATACAATTACACAGCTTGTTGCAAACTGGAGACTAACCATTAAGGAATTCAGGGAATCTGTTTTAGCAGGGGGTTGGACTAGATCATCTCCTGAGTTCCCTTTCAATCCTTACAATTCTGTGAATTATCTGGGCAGCATTTTCTATTCCTCTCCATCTCCTTCCACAAGAAATTTCCTCTCTCTCTTCCCATCTCTGTGAAAGGCTTTGAGCATCAATGCTAACTTCATTTGTTACAACTGCAAGAGTGAAAGTAAGCGAAGGTCTACAAAGATGATTAAATGATGAAGTTAGCTAATAACTTCAAAGGTGCAGTTTGTGAAAGGAACGTGAAACAACTGCAAAGCCTGGGGAGATGACGTGAACAGGGTTGCTAAAATAAGGGAAACTTTCACAGCCTTCCAAGCTGTTATTATTCACAAACTGAGACACTATTCAACTTGTAATCTATCAATCTACTTTTCAGTGCTCTCTTCAGTGTCATACCTTTCATTACCTGCTTACCTTACTTCTCTAAGATCAGTGAAGCTGCATGTTTCCTTCACACAAGCTGAAGGTAACGTGTCCAAGTTCACTTAAGATGGATAGCCTTATTTATTGATAGTCACAGTAACCAAAAGCAAGAGGAGCTACTAGAACAAACTTTTAACAGACGTGATAGACAGACACTCAGAATCAATTCCGAAATACCCATTAATCTTGGGTTACAGAGAAGCATTCTCTTGCTCACAACTAGACCTTTTCCCTCCCCTCCACCCCGTTTTTAATCCCCATAACATTCCAGGACCATCCCAGAACAAGATGAGAAACATAGCTGCGATGAGCAAGGAGGAGGATGTGAGGGAAAAGAAGGCAAAACCCTATGGGTGTGATGGTGCAGGAAGATAAGTATGTTGCTACATAAAAAGCAGCTGGCCTTTAGTTTGCTACAGAGAAGATAATACATAGGCACTCTAGCTGATACTGGCATCACCAGACAACTCGCTCTGAGAACTGCAGCCACAGACTGACAGCTTGTACTCTCAGGTGAATGGACAAGTTTTTTTCAGCAAGAGATATCTGATCAACCACTTGCTCCAAAAACATCTAAAGAGCAGCATTTCAACAGTAGAGATCACGTGGATCAGCCCAGATATAATTAAATAGAGAGAGATTTGTTCATTGAGACACTCCTCAGATTTGGTACTGGATCACAGATCTGAAAAGAGCTTTAGAACAATGGACCACTCCTTCAAGAGACTGGGGCACTCTTACTCTGTTTTGCCATCATACATCCTCTTCTGTAAGCTGAAGACTCCAGCAGCACCTCTCTGCCTTGGCCATTGCTGTGCTTTGACATCCATCAAAACTAAGCACACTTGAAAAGAAGTGATCAGTCAGAAGATTCTCATTCAATGCTAGTTAGACTCATTTAATACACTGTTTTTGTTTGCTAAACAATAAAAAGAAACTGCAAAGGCAGACGTAACCTCAAAGCATCTGCTACCCAGTCCCTAGCATTCAGGCAGCCAGACAGAAAAAATCCCAAGACTGCAACAGATGGAGCAGTGCTCAGGAGCACAGCAGCTGTACTGCAGTGAAACCAACCTGGACAAGTTCAAGGAGGACAAACCTTCAGCAGTGCACCAGCAGAGCTTTCAGGTTTGGAAAATCGGGCAAGGCAGGAGGAAAGTGGGACACAGGATCAGAATCTGATTGTATCGAAATGCCTCTCTCCTCCAAAACACACCAAAATCCAAAAACTACAGCATGAAGTGTCGTGAAAGCAACTATGTTAAACAACATGAAGATCAGAAGAAGTCAACAAGGTGCGGGCAAAAAGAAAGCACCAGGAAGTTTCACATTCAAAGATTTATTAAAGAGAACTAAAATGACAAATAGATGCAAGCAGAATTCAGAACTTAACCAGCATTCAAACTCGCAAGCACAAGAGCAAGAATCTGTTGAGCTATGTTGGCTGGCAACACCACAAGTGGCAGAACATCTGTGTTTGGTCACTCTGACAAGTTTAAGATAAAAAAAATAAACAGAACAACACACCGGATGCTGCAGCTTGAAGTGACTGAATGATGGCACTGTAAGCTCCCTGCCAAAAATAAAATAAAATGATAAATCTATTTGCAGCCTGGGAGTTTAGAGAACAGGTTTACCAGCCAAAAAAACATGGCAAAATGACAAAAACCAGGGCAGCAGGGCAAGCATTCTTCTATATTACAAGAATTATGATGGATTAGATTCAAAATAGGAGGAAGTTGGATGCTCAAGTTGATATGCTACGATGAAAATTGAACTGAAAATATAACTTGGCAGGACCAGCATATTTATAAAAAGAAAATAATTAAAAGCATTTGTAGTAACCCTTCAGTAATCCTGAAGCATCACTTCCTCTGCCCACCTACTATGATCCATTATGTTTCCTAATTTATTACATGTTAATATTTCACTTACCCAGAAGAAAAACAAAGGACATTATGAAAGAGCGTGCTAACATGATTCAAATCACAGAAAGAACTCTAAAACACTGCTTTAAGCTTAAAGATAAAGCATTAATTTACATATCAAGTTAAAATGAAGCTAGCATGAACATTTGTTTGAAGGCAATATTTTTCTTAAAAGCTGCTTAATCAAAAGTTTTGGAAGACAACAGTCTGCACATTTTCTTAACTTGTGACTTATAAAAGCAAGATAATAGTAAAAAAGAATTCAACAGTAGGAAGTGAAATGATAAGAGAAAAGACAACAAAATATCTAAGCACGTGGACATACAGTCATCCTCAGGGCTTTGAGACTTGGTCAGCTACGTGTTTGACTTGAACTTGCCAAAAAGAATACCCTTCTAACTCAAATGCAGCATGGAAGAAAGATCATTTTGAGAACGCCTCCCTTCCACTGCTAAATCATTAGCTCCTTTCCATTCTCTCCAGTACAAGCTGTCTAGAGAAAAAAGAGAGGGAGAGAAGCCAGATGGTAGGAGGACGTGAGATCCGAAGTCAGCAACGTGCCCAGACAGAAATTAATGTCTAGAGGAGATACAACTTACACTTTGTCAAAGCTTCCTCTTAACACAGATCAGCTTAGAGGAACAGAGGAGGAAGAAGTCAAAATAAAATACATGGAGTACAATCAGTGCTGCCAAGATAGGTATTTTCTCCTCTGTCCAAGACATTCTCTCGTACTCGCAGTGAAGTGCTTCCAGTACTTCCCCTGCAAAGACTAAAACTTGTCTCAGCCTTTAGTAGCAATTTAAATGAGTGATTTGGCAGGAAACTAGCAAATTTGGATTAGCAGCCACAGTAGCTCATCACGTGGTCAGGCAAAATCAGAACACAAGCAAGGAAAAGAACTCAAGCAAGTTTAAGAAGAGGAACTACACTTTCTGCAGAGTTTCAACAGCAGAAACCTACACGGAAAATACAAATGTGATGTTCATCTTTCTTACACCTTCACTGCAGGAATAGTGAAAAACATCCTGCTACAACTCATCTAACCTATAGAAGGAAAAGAAATGTTTCCATTCTTCATGCCACTTTTCCTTTCTGCTTCATGATTCTCAGATAATACAGTACAGGCATTAAGACTGATATTTATTTATTTTTTTTTTCAGATTTTTCTTTCTATTCTATATGCATCTCCCAGCACATCTGATGACTACCATTGATTGGGACAAAAATGTATTGACCAAAATTCTTATCATGGAGTCCTTCAACCAACTCACTTTCCTCCCTGCCTCCACTGTTCCACCACAGCATAAGCTACCTCTGTTCTCTTTCACTCTTAAGAAGAGACCTAAAAAATCCTTCCTCCACAAAAAAAAAAAAAAACATTACTTTTTATCACCTCCTTGCTAGCACACAACTGCATTAGGGAAACTTATAAATTGTTTCCTAACTATTTTAAAATTCCTACCTCTGCATTTGCATCCCAGGGCCAATATTTACCTGTACCAGCAAAGAATGATTATCTACACATCTATTACTTTTTTTTTTTTTTTTTTTTTTTTTTGCTGTAGCAACTACCATTACAGTGAGAGGTACAAAACTTCATCTCAAATGTTAATTTACACAAGTTAAGTAATAATAAAAAATTTGCTTGTTAGAATTCTACACCATCTGGTGTGCCATGTACTTACTTGGTGCATTCTTCTAAAGACTGTACAAGCATCTGCTGAAAAGAACTTATTTCTTCCAGATTTCCCATTAAGTATGAAGTGTTTGTCGAGTTTAACCTGTTGCCAAGGTAAAACAAAACGTGTTTATGTTTGCAGTTATTGAGTATTTGTCCTTAAACAAAACCTAGAACATTAAAAAAAAAATGCTTACTGATCCTTTGATCAAGAGCCAGAATCAACCTGTCCAAGTCAGCAAGCAAGAAGAACGAGAGGAACTTGAGACAGAACCCCCTGCCTCAAGGATCTCAGTCCACACAAGAAAACGCACATTAACGCTAGAACTGCAGTTTTGATGACATAAGCCCTCCCCAATACCCAAGTCATCTGCAGCCTTATTTTAAAAGCTAGAACAAACTCACATACTTTTCACTGGCTTGTAATGGTCGCAGGTAGTTCGAAAGCATTGTCTGTAGCTCCTTAGAATATTCATTTTCTGTTTCTAATATATTTTGTAGCACCTACAATAAATGACAATGGCTAATGGGTATTTTTCAAAAACATTCAAATTAATACCAGCCTTAAAACATACTTATTTAGCACTGGGAAAATTTAAAAGAACGCTCTTATATTCAGACATTTAGCATCAGCAGAAAAGCATTAACTAGTATATACTTACAGAACTCAAAGAGGAAAAACACACACAACCACACAAGCTACCCTTCAGCCACACACCAGGAGTGCTAACAATAATTACATTATGCTAACTTTTACTGTAAAGAGAGAGTGCCCTTCCAGAGCCAGGAGTAATTATTCCTCCTGTGCACTTCAAAATGGTCACAGATCAGAAAATGGCAAAGCACATTAGATGTTTTAAGAGAAACAAACGACTTGTTTTCTCAGTCTGAGTTACAGCACAATTTATCTTACTAGCAAAGAGTTTGCTTATTCAGATGTGCTGTTCTAGCTAAAAGGCCAGACTGATAAATATCAAATAACTGACGACTTCACTTTGCAATATGATTAGTATTGCTGCAGTGATCATTTTAAATGAGGATGCTCAAGCTTCCATCAAGAGTGCAGTAAAATACAGTACCACAAGGAAATTTAAAAAAAAAAAAATGTACAGTATGCACTTGCTTTTTGGATGAATATGAATCAAACACTGGAATACTCCCAATTGTGTACAAGAGAACATTTTAATGAGTCATCTCTAAGCAGCCTGCTTTAAGAGAACCACGTCAAAATCTACAGTGCTTCTAGCAGACAAATTATTTTTTGCCTTCAAAACAGTGAGTGATCTAGCAGGAGATTCATCAGAGTTAAATGCAAAAACATAAGACACGGTACGTTTTGAAAACTTTTTGGGAATTATTGCTCATAAGCCACACCACAAACCTCTTTTTTGCTACATGCCATATTTGCCAGGCCTACAGCAATATCTCATTTCAGCATTTATAGTAACGACTGTAATTGAGTGCATTATTCAGTGCTGTAGTCAATACTCTTTCTTAGGAAATAAAAAAAGCCATTCATTCCTAAATGCAAACCTGATGAAATAACTTTAAATAGTTCAGTATGTCAATGAAGAATTCACTGTTTCTTTCATTGGTGTCATTGATTCTGCTTATTCCTTGAATGGTTCTATTCATTTGGAGAAAGAGAGAGACCACTTTTGAGTTCATTCTTTTGTTGGAAATCTGAATCCTGAGCTGAAGATTAAAATGTCTCCATTCTCTGCTAAACATGATGACAGAAGAATGTCACAAGGAAAGCTGTAGCTATTAAATAGGAATCTACAGCATGAAATACAACATAGGAGCAAAAATTACTCAAAAAAAAACCCCACTAAAAACGATTTTAGTCTTCTCTGGTCTAAGCAAGAAAAACAAGAGAAAAGTACATTTCCATTGATCATAAAATAAATTAAATGCTGCTTTCTAAAACAAATATGATACAAAAGAAGTCAGCTGTTAACATGAGAGCATAAAAGTACTTGTGATCCATATGGTTCAAAACCAAATGCAAGATCAACGTTTTCAAATACAGCCTTTCCAACAAAAATCTTCCTGCTAAAGTCATCAGTTGGGAAAAGGAGACAAAGGCAAGGACAAAAACACAGCAACCTGATGAAATACAACATTTTCAGAAAACATGAAAAGAAAAAAAGACCAACAAGTTTGCTAGAGACACTGAAGGACTGTGCTCCATTTTCTCAGAGTATTTTCCACCCTTTTTACTACAAACAGCTTTCTGAGAAGGCTGAAATAAAATCAGTTTCATGTCTAACAGCTCAATTATTTTCCTGTGCTCACTGGAATTTTTATTTGAAGGCTTTCTTTGGAATACGTAGAAGTAGTTGGAGGAAAAAGATGTAAAGGATGAGGAGGAAAAATGGGAAAACTTGAGCAGTAAAAGCATCCACCAGATAAGTTAATTGGAAAAAAAAAAAAAAAAAACTAAATAAAAATACTTTGCACAGGTTTTGAAGTAGATATTCTTACACTGCTTTACATTATTCTGCACAATAGTTCAGACATTAACACAGCTTTAAACACCTCTCAAAGTACATTCAGCCTATTTCCCTTTTTTCCATACAACATACTTTTAATTGAATATGTTTTTAAAGAGAACGTCTTGCTGACATCACTCTAAAACATCTGTTTTGTGAACTTCTGCATCCTTCCAGCTTGACTTACCAACCTCATGACGAAGCAACAGGGATAAAATCCTTGGCTATGCTTTGAAGCATTAAGTGCCCCGTATTGCAATTCTGTATTCTGGCACCAGAGCACCCTTATATTCCTCATATCCACATCTTGCCCGTAAACTCTGATAATCACCTTTCTTCCCTTTCCTGTTTTCCGTGTGTTCTGGCTGCTGCAAGACCCCATGAGACCTCGAAGACCTTGTTTCCACAGCTCCACCACAACATTTGCACAGATAAGTCTGGGTACCAAAAGAGCAGCATTGAAGTGGCAGCTTTTACAATCCGTAACACTGATGAATGGCAGGCACAGAAAACTGAGCTCACAGAGCACAAGCTCTCTCAATCACAAGGCATGGAAAATTCAAGCTTGGTTAACAATTCTGTCACACAAAACCCCAGTCATTTCCCTAAGGGGAAAGCTATCACCCAAAAATGGATTTAAATGACCTGCACAAAGCTGATCACCTTCCAACAGAGGGAAAAAAGGCAGATTTCATAGCAACACTTGGGCATGATCCTGCAGCACATTCTCATTTTATGCAAGCAGTAAAGCATTCAAGTGGAGTATCACGTGTTCAGCAAAAGCAGTCAATGTCTAATGTTCCTGGATCATGCAACTCAGACTATATTCCCTAAAAGAGATCTCAAGAGGAGCACTGTAAAGCACCATAAAAGTATCCCATTATCTCCAGTGCCCTCTCAAACATTCATGAACTTTGATAAATACAAATACTTGCTCCAACTTGAAAAGCAGGGCCTCAGAAGGCACAGTTGTTTTCCAATCACTTATAAAAATACTCATACCATACAGAATGCTGTCCATTTCTTTACCAGCTTTTAGAAAAGCTGCTTATACTCCACACAATTATCTTCTAAGCCAAGATAATTTTTATGCGGGATGCCAAGTTTTAAATTCTCAAGGAATCAACAAGAAAAAATAAAACATAACCCATTCTGTCCTCAGGGAATAACATGCAATAATACGATCACTTCTTCAGCGGCAGGCTACTGAATTACTTCTACATGGTCAAGTGAGAAACACTTCCAACAAGTCTGGTTCATATTATATCCTGTTCAGACTTGTAGCATTTAATGGAGAAGATGCTGCAGCACAGTCACTCCAGTAACCCACAGTCTCCAGCTAGGCAAAGTGTAACAATAAACCAAACGCATCCCATACTTTCAAGCAACCCCAACTGCGAGGCACCACTAATAAAGCACAGAGACCAGCACAGAGGCCATCACCATCTGTGTTACAAACTTCAAGTGGAGTTCTGCAAACCCATGAACATGTTTACACGGAGATGAAGAACAGAAGAAAGCAGTCTCATCTTCATTTTAAGCACTTTCCTGAGCCTATGCAGTTGTTTTCCCAGAAGGGGAGATTAGCAAAGCCTCTCCTACCACTTCCTGAGTTTCCTCTGAACTGTCCTTTGATTCTTTTCCTCAGGCTGACCAACACACTCACAGGTGCTACCTGCAGCATAAATCCTTCCCTAGGAAAGACAGCAACAAATAATCATGAGGTTTACAGGGTCTTAGTATGTATGAAGGAATACAGTCACAACTCAACAGAAGCAAGGAATTCCAGCACACCAGTCCCAGAACACGCTTGGCTGTCAAGTGACAGCAACACAGTTTTTAATGCTTACTCTAACTCAGGCTATGCTCTTTCATCTACAGTTCACTAGGAGCTACTCTTTTTTGACCTTTAGTAGGGGTTTCATGTGGATTGATGATGAAATGCTTATCATAGGGAAGAACCACATCTGTAAAAATGACCAGTTACATAAAGCAGGAGTTGCAGCTCACACAGCAAAAACAGAAAAAAAAAAAAATCAATTCACAGTTTAAACCGTTTGAATGTTAATCTACCTTTAAATACCACTACATACTAATGACTTAAAACAATTATTTGGGTTATATTGCCGTAGTAAGCACTTAGAATGTTTCAAGAAAATGTAGATGCCATCTACCCTAATTTAAATTTTAAGAACAGCAATAAAGTCTTACCTCTTGGAAACAAAGTGCATGCTATAGCACAGCCTCTCATTTTTTAAACAAAAAGAATAAGGTGATGAAATTAACAATTGGAGGTATTTGTTACAGTGCAGAAAAAAGTGAAAACAAAACAATTATCTAATTCACTGCTGACAGACTTCATAATAATATTCTAGGGCCAATGCTTTAATTTACCATCTATATTACTATGGATAAGTCAGTTTTCCCCCTCAGGACACGACAGATCCTCATTAGTTAATAAATAGCTAGCAGTCAAAACAGAAGGAAACTTATCTCATCAGATAAATGCACCTGATCAAGGTGAAAAATAACCTGGTTTTAAGTGTGTGATGTCACCAATGTCACTATTTATCATTTACAACAGAAAATGACAGACAACTGTAGAACGCAGCTATGGCTAGCTGCTTCCTAGCTGCTATGGCCAGAAGTTGTACCAGAGGAGGTTTAGGTAGGACATTAGGAGAAACTTTTTCTCTCAGAGTGGTCAGGCACTGGAATGGCTGCCCAGGGAGGTGGTGGAGTCGCCGTCCCTGTTCAAGAGGCTCCTGGATGAGGAGCTACGAGATCTGGTTTAGTGCTTGTGGTACTAATAGGAATGGGGGGTGGTTGGACTGGATGATCTTGCAGGTCGTTTCCAACCTTGCGATTCTGTGATTCCTAAAGTGGATAGTAACTCAAATTTCTGTGATAATGGCAATATGTTATTCAGGAAACAATTATAAAAAGAAAACAAAGACATTGCTTCAAAACTGCATGGCCTTTTGTAACTTAGCCTCCTTAACTATGGTTTTAGCCATTTACTTTTAAACATTTACTTTCTTTTATTTTCAATGAAGTAAACTGTTAGCCCTGAAACTGGCCTAAGTTATTAAGTAAAGTAGGCAAGCATAAGATTTAACTTATTTTGTACACAGTCAAACTGAATCTTTAACTAAATCCTAATTTAACAAACAACGTTTTATTACATTACGTATATTTATTATGACTTTATGTAATATGTGGACCTATCAGAGAAACCCTAAGATTTAGCAGCCCTCTTTAGGCTTAAAAAAAAAAAAAAGTAAAACGTCAATTTACTTTGACTAAAATGTCATAATGGATATACATTCAATTGAACTAAGAGCACTCTTCCACCCACTGAAACAATTAAACCTTATCTTTGCTGTATTTGTGCATTCATTCCAGTTACTTGTAGGGAAAAAACCCATAGGTTTTAACATCAAAACAGCAATTAAAGAGAAACAACCATCACACTACAGCAACTTCAAAAAAAAAAAAAAAAGACAGTAAAATGGACTAATGAAGATACACAGGGAAAAAGTAAAAAGGGAAGCAATCTAGTATTTTGTTGCTGCATGTAGTAGAGTGAGAGCATTACTTCTGCTATTCAAAGATATGTGCCTTCGTCAATCATTTTCATCAAGGCTAGCAGGTGTGGAACACAAGCCAAAGCATCAGAGCCCATCATTTACCATGGAATTACGGCTGTTGACAGATACATCGTGCAAGTGAGTGGGGAGGAGCAGGGAGGTGCTTCCATATTTTCAAATAGGGGCCTATGCACAAGGCTGCTCTGCTCCCCAGGTGGCTCACGTTATCCATGCCACAATCACAAAAGATGAAAGCATGAAACGATGCTGATGGTCCTTCTAACCCTGACAAATAAGATGAAGAGAAAAGAAAACCAAAGGCAGTGGTTCAAAGAAAAAGGAAAGAATGTTTGTGCTTTCTTCTTACACCAGCAGGGAGCAGTGGTTAACAAAAAGCATCACACTGTTTTTGCTTCCCAAAGTACCTCCTGTTAGTAAACAAAGGTTTCGCAAAATGGTTACATCAGGTTTAAAGATTAAATTTCACATTTCTTATCTATTAAAAAGGTACGAATACTACACTGTAGAACCCCTGGATGCGTATTAAAGGTGATCCATATTTTCTAGCTATGCAAATTCTGCCATGAAATCAATTCACCAGTTACAAGGGAGAGGTTCTGGAAGTTAATAACCAAGTCGATTTATAAGCATGAATACAAAGAAGGTAAATCATTCCAGTTGTTCAATGCCTTGTTCAACAAAAGAACAAAATATTCTCAATCATTTTCATACATCAGAATTCCATTAATTTATAGTGGCTGGAGAAGAGCGACTGCATATTAAGGTGAGAGAAATGAAATTAACAACTAGCCAAGCAAGTAAAATGAGCAGAATACATTACAGTAATGCATATTATTCACTTATTTTAGACTATAATTTTGAGTCATGCTTAGAATCCATATGCATGATATTTCATTAAACTGAAATGATCTTGTTTGTGTGAGAACTCACTAAAATTCCTATCCGGTTTCAACACTAGGGTTCTGACAAGGCTTAATTTCATTGTAGTGGCAAGAGCATTTAATTGAGGTTCTACTGTATATAAAAAGCTCACAAGGAGAAAAACGGTTCACTCACCACATTGTAATAGCTTTTGTTGATTGCAGATGTATCAAAGCCTTTAGGTGGACTCTTCAATGTACCTGATTTGGGGGAGACTGGCTTTTCTGAAATAAAAGGTATTTTTGTGTCAATGGGGTGCAATTTCATAGCTTAACACTAGAGGTCAAACAAACCACTTTAAAACAGTAAGATGGAAAAAATAATGCTTCATTAAGAAATGTTCATATTTATTATGCTAGGGATTACTGGTAAGGAATCAAAATTGTTCATATGATCATAATAAATGTAACACTAATCTCAATGAAGGCAAACAAAACCTCTCCATTCTTTCTCCTGGAACTAGATAGTCAGTTAATAAAAATCAGCTTTTTCCAAATATATTTATTTAAAGGCAAAACATCACAGACTGCAATTAAAAATACAAGTGTTTTACACACTACTGGCACTTTCAAACAAATTTTGGTATCAATTTAATGAACTCGTAAAAGTACTTGAGCAAATAAAGGTCAAACATATCAGAGGCAAGACACTGCAAACAGAATCACCATACAGTACAATAAAGTGATTTACCACGTGCCCATCTCAGAAAACCGTTTAAAGAAAGAAACAAGATGAGCTTTGTCAATGAAATATTAAAAAAAAAAACAAAACAACACCCATGCTTACGTACTTGAGAACAGAATCTACTATAGCAGTAAATGCATGCCTTTATATAATAATCCCATAGGAAATCAACCCTCAGCTACACATGCTCTTCTGGAAGGAAAGCCTGTGTCTTCATGATCAGAGCTGTTGCCCTGAAAGCTGTGTGCTGGTTCCCAAAATGGAAAGACATGACACTAAAGTCTCCTCTTGCACTTTAACTATTCCCCTGACTCTCACAAGGATCATGCTGCACGCTGGAAAACACAAGTTAAAAATCTATAGCACCACATTTTGATTTCTCACATTTGACTTAACACACCAGAACGTGTGGATGCTCTGTGGTGTTTGTCAGGACTCTGTGGTGTTTTGGTTTGTTTCAAATAAGCACACTTGCCTAAACATGCAAACTTCAGATAAGCACTTCAAGTCACATTAATCTAAACAGTACAAAAAAAGCATCATCAGAGCACACCTACACAAAATTTTACATTGATTTTAAAAGCAAGTTTCTATTCCAAAAACATTTTAATAAGCATACATAATTTAACTGTAGTTAGCATGATTCCACATGGCCATTAAGAATAAATTATGCGAGTCTACAACAGATCCAGATCCACAACTGCCTTTACAAGAAAAACCCAGTCAGCTTCATTATAGGACAGCTATGGGGAAATCCCATGCCAGAAAGGCTGGTCAGGGAGGCAACACCATCAGCAGAATGATCCATAAGGCACCAGCCTCCGTGGGCCTGTGCCCAGGGTGCAGTGACTCAGTGCTCTCGCAGGCTGCCCAGCAGGCCCCTCAGACACACAGCCTGCAGGCCATCCTCCTGCCTCCTGGCTATGCTGGCTAGTCAGAGGGGTTAGCCAGTAGGCTGATTGGTCCCCAGGGGCACTCGTGGCATCTTGAAGAGGGTTTTCTCTGAATTGCATTGGAATTCTTCTCAGAGAAGCTATTCTAAAAATACAGTACGGTCTTAGAGCTACCAAACATGGGCAAAAACATTTCTCCATACCATATCCTGAGATGATATGAGAACCCTCTTGGTGAAGAACCCCCACCTCAAGTCAGCTGTAAGCTGACAGAGCACAAAATCCCATTAGC